TATATATATATATATATATATATATATAACCCTTTTTTGTATAAAGGTTTTGTCTGGACTAGTGCTCTTCCATAGTATTCTTACAACAGCTTTTGACTCACGGTCAAGCGATTTCTACTCGTTATTCTTCAATAATCCTTCTGATCAACCCTGTATTATATCAATAAGGCGGTAAATTTTACTCTGCGTCCTCACAACGTATATTCGACGTCTTCACAAGGTAAGCCTTTAATTAAAGTTCTGCTTGATCTTAACTCAAGGCTAAACCTTCTAAATCTAAACGACTCGATAAAAGGAATTTTTTCACAACAATAGGTAGCAAAGAATTATATAATGATATATCGTTTTAATCCCTTCAGTTTATGATTTCTCTCAATTGTGTGAAGTTGAGAATTCAAGCAGTAATTAATACATGACGAACTATTCTCGCCCACACCTAAAACTTTGAAACTATCCGTTGCACGACATTCCATCAGATGTAACATTAAGACTTATATTCTATCGTTATACGAAAAAGTGAACAATCTCGCGTATTCTAAGTTAATTGGAATGTGAAGTTTGTTTTATGGCATTGATACCCGCATGATCAGTTTTTAAACTGAGTCAATTAATTACCAAATGAAGCAATAGGAAAACTAATTGCAAACTTAAATGCCACAACGATTGTTTTTCAGATGTGAAAAAGTATGAGTGTCCACATATTGACTGTAATGCGACCATGCAAGGCAAAATTGAATATAACAAACATATCTAAACACACGATAAATCATCTATTTCGTTATCAATGTAAATATACCGGTTGCGGAAAAGAATTCCGCGTTCAGACATCATTTTCCAGGCACAAGAAATCCTGTAAACACAATCCTCAGTGTAAAAACTTCCTCGGTTTTAAGCAATCACTGAGTAGACACAATAATTATTCCCACAGAGCTTCTCAGTTTTGCAAATTCAGCAGACTTTTTTAGCATTTATTTATCTATCTGATGTGAAAGCACGTGAAAATGTGTTACGAAATATTTGTGACCGTACGGTCACTTTCTTTGGCACAATGAAGTGATGTCTAACAGACATTCATTCTAGGCGCAACGAAACAAAATCCGCAGCTGGAACATACTTTGGCAGAGACACGAAAAGATCACATTGCCGATCGAAGTTCAGTAGGTCAACAAGACCACTTAAGTGATGACTATCTCCCTGAAAACTTTAACATCGGTAGCCCTGATATTAACATTCTCGACTACTGTTATTTTGCAGCAGTAGGTTGCAGCTGACTATCCTGAACATTCTATCAAAGTGGCTCAAAAGAATCACAAATATTCCGTCAGTAATCCCATTTGTTTACCTTTTTTTTCCATATAGCAAATAGAAATTCTCATATGTTGTCGAATGTTGTAATGAACCAAAAAGAAAAGGTTTCGCAAAGTTTATGTTTAACAAAAGAAATTTTCAACATGTTTGTTCACATGAAAATGTGTTGCAAAACATTTACGACAATGAAGCGACATTTCAAAATTCAATACTTACTGCAATATTTTTTTAACCTCAGTAGATAGTTGCTTTGTTGTTTATCGCAGTTAGTGTTTAGCAGTTACTGATGTGATAATGGACGGAAGGATATTTTTTTGGCTTCGCCGACAAAAGTTGATGGTATATTTGGGACATTTGAAATATCTAAGTAATGCTCATTTAGGAGCAACGGAAGGAAATCCGCAGTTGGGACATACTTTGGCAGACACACGAAACCATCATATTGCCGATCAAAGTTCAGTAGGTCAACAAGACCACTCAAGTGATGACTATCTCCCTGAAAACTTTAACATCGGCAGCCCCGATATTAACATTCTCGACTACTGCGATTTTGCAGCATTGGGTCCAGATATAGTCACATTATTCAGTGAATAGGATCCCAGCCAACTTGATCGTAGATAATTTAATCTTAGATTTTTGTAAGAAACGAAAAGAAGAAATTGTTGAAGAAATCAGTTCAAACGTCTTCGTACGGTTTAAACAACTGACAGTAATCAGAAATTTCGTGAAATACTAAATTATGATCTATCTTTTCCAAATAACTGAAATAATTCTACAATTCGTTTTGGTATTTTCCTGTATTTTAGTTTAATTGCAATATTATTGTTGTCCTTATTATGGATAATGCAGTAGATTGTATTGGTAATTAATCAGTTTATTTTTACTAATTATTTTGGCTCATTCTCTTCCGCTGTAACGAGCCTAGTGTAGCACAAAAGCTGACATAGAATTAACATTGAATTTCATTGCTTAGATTTTTGGACTCAATCAATATCTTCATTTTTGAATTACAGTTGAAGTGAACAAATTTTATTTAATTCTATAATCAAATAAGACAATAAAATGTGTCATTGCATTCAGCGGTCTTATAATAGTTCTACTGAAAAGAGATGTATGACGGTTATAATGAATTGTCCGGTATTTCTTCAACCAGATGAACGAAGTGATAATAGAGATATGAACAAATTTTCGGAGAAATAATGTAGAGAATGGTCGATTAACTAACAAATGAATTCAATCTTTGCTCACTTAATTAATTTCACTCAGATTTACTTCTTACCATATTCTAGCTGATTTTTTAATTACATTTTTCTCACCAGGAAATTTTTTCCCGGGAGAAAGGAAAGAAAGCTTGTCTTAACCTCTCGTCCAAGCTTTTTTTACCGGAAGTGAATGTAATGAATACTGCGCTCTTGTAACATTATCCGGCTATTACTTCTATAGCATGAAATATTTTACCAAATATAAAGAAAGACTAAACATTCAAAAAAAACTAAATGTTTGGAATAAAAATTTAATCCTCTGCAGATGATATTAATAAAATTTATCAATCGAAATAGTTTCCAGTAGAATTTCGTTTTTGAATAATTTTTAACCGTTCATGTCCTGTTCGTAAAGAATAAATGTATGTAACGAATAATTACTGCTTGCTCTCTGTGTTCATACTGATATTTGAGGATGAATGAATTGAACTTCCCTCTTTGCAAAATTTAGTCTCCTTAAAAAAAAAGGAAAAAAAACAAACAGTTTTGCTTTGCAGAAGATAAAAACAGAATATGAATTTGTTGTATAACCGATTTAAAGTATTTATTTTTGTACTTCCATAAAAAATTGTACATATGGACTATAACAGGTTGAGAAGTGCTGTAATGACAAAAAAAAAGGACAAAAACCAAGAAGACTAAGAAGATATGGAGATATGGTAATTTATTGATCCATCAAAGCTTATTACTTTGAGTTACTTGTATCTGATATAAGCAAAATCATTTAATGCCTATCACTGGTCATACAACACGTGTTTCCATGTATTAACGAATGGAATTTATCATTGTTTGATCAAACTATCTTAATCCTAATGATTGCTTACTTCTTGTTCAGCCATTTTTCCAGCCAGAGCAAATCCATATTTTGAAATAGTAAGGACAACACTGTTATCAGCATTGTTGACAAAAGTAATTTTTGGATATCAGAGATATTATCTGCGCCATTAAGTACCATCACTTTACAAGCTTACCTGGATAAGCACGATGTCATTTGCTGATACCTGGGAAACAATACATAATTGTGATAATATATTAGAAAGTGAAATCATACATTGTGAAACAATACTAACGGTTACGTTTAGAAATTTTAATCGAATAATGGCTGTTTATCATTCATTTCAATTTAGTGTGATGGAAAATTTCTGAATTTCAAACTTTTTAACAAGATTGATCTGTTAATAAAGGTTGCTGATAAAATCACCATTGTATTAAAATAATATGTTATGGAATAATCAATTAGTAATCAAAAAAGAACAAACGAAATATTGGTTAAATAAATTCCTTCTTTAATAATAACGAAATACTGATTAAATAAATTCCTTCTTTAAAATTATGCATGCAAAGTTATGACCATAGGAGAGATTGAAATCATCTGCATATCTTTCTGCTTTTTTTTTAGTGAAAGTTAGTAAAAGTTTAAATCTATACTAATTAATTAAAGAATTTGCTACTAATTAAGTGCAAAATTAGGTACACTCATAAAATAGCAACCAGAAATAACGTGACATCAACGAAAATTTAGATTCATTCAAGCTATTTTGGAAATATATTTCGATGCAGTCTTGATTAAAAGGAAAAAATTAAAAAATTTAAACAAGGAAAGAAATTAAAAGGAAAGAAATTAAAAGATTTAAACATTATAAAACATGAGAACTTAAAAATTTTCGAATAATGACTTTATGGATTGAATTTGACAAAAACAGACGACGAGATTAGATTAAAATAAGCTGAAAACAGGGATGAAAACAACGATGTGAAAGTGTGAATGTAATTGATAAAGAAAAATGTGACAAAAAGGAAAAAAAATTAGTTACGAATCACCTATGCTACTTCATAAAAATGAAATTATCAATTTAATTATCCATCGATCTTTTTCGAATTATCAATTAATGAATTATCAATTAATTATCTATCAATCTTTTCCGAAGATAAGTCAATTGGTTGCGTTCA